GTTGTGGACGCAGTGAGTTGCCTTTCTTTCTCTTTTTCTTTCACTATCTTTCTTTTCCTACTTGCTACGTGGGCCCTTTTGTAATCCCTGTCAGCACTTCCGACTGTCACCATTCTCGTAAAATGCTGTAAGAACTTTGAGGGAGGCGAACCAGTCTTGTGGAATGCAATTTTTTTTTGCGTTCAATACATGGTTCAACCACCACGGAGCTGGTCCTCCTCTTAGGCAAAATTTTGAGCCCCGGTTCACAATCGTTCCTTCACATCTTTCATAACTGAACGGCGTCCAGCATTAAAAAAAATAGAGAAATGGGTTGCTATTGAAGCTAGTATTACATACTTCAAGGCTTCACGGTAGGTTTTTTACTGGAGAAAGAGGAGAAATATAGAAATAGAAATAGGACAGAAAGAGGAGAAGAACGTCGCAGGAGAAATCCCGTGGTCCAGAAGCTAAATCACGCGAATTTCTATTCTCTTAGATGCTTATAATGATGTCTACCTGTTAAGGATGGCCTATGGTTTATCAAGGAATCAATACGCGATGTACCTCCATTGCCTTCGGCTATTTTCACACCAAATCACATTGAATTTTCAAGGATGTGCGAAGCCGCCCTCGATGTGCATAATGTGCTAGACATGAAGCTAAGTTTGTTTTTCATACGAACTGTTTGCGTTTTGTATTTGTGGTCCAGAATCAGATCGTAATGAAGTAAGACTGTCAGTAATCTGTCGCCATTGTTAGGGCAGTGGTGCAGATGTTTGTCAGTATTAACACCAGGTTTTTGAAACTCGAATCGTTCACAACTTTTGTATGAAACCCTGGTTTGATTTTTTAGTTGCTAATACAATCAATTACAGGACCAGAAACAGTTACAAGATATGGTCAGTCGCTTGAGCAAACACATGGGAACATCTTTGTACGTGAAGGGACAAGTTGATATCATTACCAATCCTGGTGGCGAAGGTCTGCTTCAACTTGACTTTTCAAAGTGAATTTCATTTAATTGTGGTGAGGTAGCGTTGGAACTTCACGACCCGGGCAATTCAATCGCGCGACTGCTAGCGAACGCGCTCTTCCTCTGGTCCTTAGACCGCTGCAATTTTCCAGTAGCGGTTCTCTCTGAATGTGATTGGATTAGCAGTCATGTCGGTCCACAGCAGTGTGACGTGATCGCTCACAATCGTTCGTGTGGCTTGGAAACGTGGGGCTGAATCACTTGAGTCGCGGAGTATAAAAGCAGCCTAAATGAGGTCCTCAACTGTAT